TTCTGGAAATAACCTGGAAGCTTTACATACTTATTCTCTTTAACGCTCTTTTAAGAAATTAGTCACATGACCATGCTTAGCATCAAGGAAGTTTGTGCATTGTAATCTTCTCATGGGTGGCTATAAACTCTACTAAATTTCCATTTGTTGGAAGGAAAGAACAAATACTGATGGACAACTAGCCATTTCTGCCACAGCATGCCGTGGATATTTGGAGACATGCTGGTAACAGAAACAACAGAAACAAAGCCAAATGGCTGAACATCTTTGCTTCTACCAAAGAGAAATATGATAGGAGGAAGAGGACCACTTTTTACATACACATATTTTTGAGGTACTGGAGATTTTGAAACATGTGTGGCTAACTTTGATTTAATTTTAATTTTAAAAAAGCTTTAAACTGAGAACGAAGTATGGATAAAAATTTTATCCAGGTTAAAATGAAAAAAGGGCAAGAGCACTCTATGAGGGAAAAATGGTTTGTTGGAAGAGGAGACATAGATCCTCCTTGATACAAAATCATGATTTGGACTAAGCATGGAAAACAAGGTGGAGGGAAATGGGTTAAATTGAGGTTGAAGATCTAGGCGGGTCAATGCGATAAACACTGAACTATAAGGACTTTACCAAGTAAGAAGAGACATTGATTCTTTGGGAAAAGCAAAGGGTGGTCTTCACTCAAGAAGATGTTAGTGAAACCTAAGTTAGTGTCCTCACACTGAGTGTGAAAATGCAGCAGAGTTACGTTCCAACAGAATTTCCTACATGTTTCCTGTTGTTCACCCTATGATTGATTTGGGCTTCAAAAGAAAAATCATCAAGACCACCTTCCCTCCTCAGGTTTATGGATGTTTCCTGATCAGCCACTCACATGCTTCAGCGCTCCAGCTACAGCGATTTCTCAACACTTTCTCCTAGATACTCCTCAAGTTTGATCATGCCCTTTCCTCAGTCTGGGACACCTTCATTTTTTGCACCTCTAGAAAACTTGCTCTTCAAGATTCACCTTCAATATTACTTTTTATTCACAGGCATTTATGATTAATTATGATTAGTCAGAATTAGTTCCTATTCATGTGCATTTTGTTCATTCTACGAAACAAAGAAAAGAAAGAAAGAAAGGGAGGGAGGAGGGAAGGGAAAGGCGGTGGGGGGAAGGCAGCTAAACAGCTTTTTTCACCCTTTCCCCAATTGATTTTTTCACTAGAGGTCAACCTCAACATTTTTAGCACTGCATCCCTTGGAAAATCGAATGAAAGTTGGGAAACATTTTCCCTAGAAAACCACTCAAGAAACACACAGGTATTTGGAAGGAAAACAGAATTCACGGTTCCTCGGACTCGGATGACCCGGGAGGAGAGCCCCAAGAGTCAAGGATCCTTCTCTATGCAATTCACCCTAAAGTATTGAAGAAGCGGCAATAACACTGAATAGAAATTGAGCCGTACTAAGATCTGTTGTTTAATTTCCCAGATTGTTTTATTAACCACTAATTAAGAGTCCAGATTCGCCAGCTCCCCTGAGGTCGACTTCAGTGAGATCATCTCTGGGAACCTCTGATCCCTACGGACTTCCCGCAGCGCTGGGGCGGCAGGACCAGGCTCCCTGAAGCGGGACGGTGACAGCAAAATCTGGTTTAGCCCAGGCTGGTCGTGCCACGCCCATCGTCTGCCCTGACCTGACCCTGAGGTACTGCCAAGGTCCAGGCAGCCCGAGAAAGGGAGTGAAGGCCCAGGTAAATGTGTTTCTACCACGTCTCAACCACTTTTAGGACTCCTGTAAAAGCTAAGCACGTTTTTAACCCGTCGTAGTTTTCCACTCTAGTTCTTCGTCCGTTCGTGTGGAAGCCAGCCATCTTCACAACTCCCAGATGTTTCCAAGCGTCTTTCTATCCAAGATAGAGGGTTTCTAAATATAAACTCTGAAACAAAGTAACCCAGAGGCCGGCACACGGGAAGACCAGTACCTGGTGACGAGGTGGCCGAGTGGTTAAGGCGATGGACTGCTAATCCATTGTGCTCTGCACGCGTGGGTTCGAATCCCATCCTCGTCGATCGTGGGTGGCACTTTTAGTACGGAGAAGAAAGGAAGACCAGTTCTTGACTTTGAAATCCACCTAGGAGAAAGCTGCCCTTGTTCCCTGCTGCTACGGTGGTATGCGTTTATACTGGATTGTACTGCTTAAACTGGATGCTTCTGTGATAAAAGTTCCTTCTGGTAGGCTTACTTTCTGGAGGCTGGAACGAGGGGGCAGAGGAGGAAATAAAAGATATGAATCCAGCAGAAACTGGAGTTGGGTCACTCCAGTCCCCCATTTTAGAAGTTACTACTCCTATGAGCAGTAAAATAAATTCAAAAAGAAAGTCAGCAGGAAAAACAAAAACAAAAACAAAAAAAACCACACACACACACACAAACCACAGCAGGACAAACACACCAAGGCAGAATTTCAGTTACTTAGATTCTCAAGAACAAATTTACTGACCAAAATTCAGGAAACATATAGCACTGAAGAGATGAGCACACCAGTTTTTAAAAGATTAAGAAATTCAGAAGTAAGTTACTTTCAAGTGACAACCGCGCAACCTCTTTCCAAGAGGCCACATTCAAGATACTGCTTAAGAATGAAATTAAGAACCTGTTGCTGAAGAGTGATTAATTTGGATATTCCCAGACTGTACCCCTCTGAGAACTTAGAAAGGAAGGTGTCCCATGTAACTTGGAAAGAAGTATGGTTTAGAGACATTCAGAGGAACACAGCATCCCAGGATCTGGAAGGAGAGATGATGGGAAAGTCTGGAAAGAGTGACTTGGAAGACCTCATCTGAGCCTGACTTCAAATGAATTGAAAGTTGACTCATAAGAGCCCAATAAAGCAGTATTCTGAGATTAAAATTTGTTCTTTGTGGTAACAGATAATACATGCATATACTTCACTCTACCATATTGCTGCTAAAATACTCCAAACTGAAAGGATGTCCTCTTTCCCTGAGGTACTCACATTTATTAATGTTCTTGGCCTGCCAAGAAGTGATGTTCTTGATTATGCATAAGTTGGGAATCACATAAGCCACAGACTAGACATCAGACAAGTTTTACTAGAAGCATTTTGCAGGCATTATTTCTACCTGTGAATTAGAGTTCTTGTCCCTTACTTGTAGGCTTTTCATATAACTAACTTTAAAAAGGTATATTGCAAATGTTTTTCCTATTATAGTTTAATATGACTGAAGAATTGAATTTTTACTTTTATTTAAAAAAACTTTACTAATGTATAATTGGGATATGATGAACTGCATATATTTAAAGAATACATTTTAATGAGTTTTGACATATATATACACATGAAAGCATGACCCCAATCAAGAAAGTGAACTTATCTATCTTCCTTAAAGTCTCATTGTCCCCTTTTGTAATTCTTTTCTCCTGCCCACTATGTCCCCCATTTCCACAGGACAACTGGTCCACATTTTGTCACTGTAGATTAGCTTGCATTTTCTCAAGTTATGTATAGATATAATTCAGTATGTACTTTATTTTGATTGGCTCCTTTCATTCAGCATAATTATTTTGAGATTTATCCATGTTATGTATGTAGTGGACAGAACCCAATGAGCCTCCAAATTCTGGTTTTCAGACTTTTGTCTATGTCCTCCTCTTGAGTGTGAGTTGGACCTGTGACTTACTTCTAATTAATATAATATGACAAATATGACTGGATCATTTCTGTGATTATACTGAGCTATATATGACTCAGTCTTGCTAGCAGACTCACTCTAGAGAGCATTCTTGCTGGCTTCATGGTGTAAGTGGTCAAGAAGGGAAAGCTCACTAGGCAAGAGCTTCAGGTACCTCTAGAAAGTGCGGGTAGCCCCTAGGAACTGAAAGATACCTCCAGCTAACTATCAGCAAGAAGCCTCAGCCCTCAATCCTTAAGCTGCAAGGAAATGAATTCTGCAGACTGAGTGAGCTTGGAAGTAGATTCTTCCCCAGCCAAGTGAAGGGTAGAAAAATATGCCACCCCAAAATACACCTCTATGGCATACGAGCTGATTATTTGGAGCTAATTTTTGAGAAAAAATAGAAACAGGAGAAGCTCTAAAAACAGTGGAATTTACTCTTTTATAAGGGAGCTTTACATTTATAAGGGAAGTCTCCATTTGTAAGAATGTCTCCCTCTCTGTACCAGGAAGAGAAACTCTTAATAGAGAAGGTACCTGACTTAAATCTGTGTAAGAACCTTACCTGCTTTCATCTTTAGCTGAAGATGGTATTTAGTGTAATGGTGTGGGGCATTTCAGGGAGTTTTTTTCAGTTTTTCTGGGTATCTTCCATGTATATACAAGGTATACAGGTTATTGTAGGTGAGCAAAATTTGCCTGTCCAAAATGTGTCTCTTAGGTATTATTTTGATAAGACAAGACTCAGGAAGTTTTTCTTCTTACCTCAGTTATAAAAATGACACTCAAAGAAGGCCTCACTGACAAGATGAATACTTGTAATAGGACCTCCATGTCCTTCCTTACAAAAGTATGGATGTCTCATCCTAGGAAGGGAACTGGAATTCAGCCACCCCACAGCTTTCCTGACCAGGCTCAACCCCTGGGCACTTCGTCAAAGAGACACACACTTCTCAAAGATAAACATCAGGATTATTTTCTGGGAAGATGCAGCCATTGTGGTTCCCAGTGTAGGAACAGGTTTGGCCTTGGCTGACCCTCCTCGGGTCACTGGCTCATGTGCACCTGCTGAGAAGTTTTAGCCGCTCTACTTACTAACAGGAAAAGAGTTCCAAGCTAGATAATGAGAAAAGCAAGAGGAGAAACCATGAGAAGAGCATAGCCATTAGCCATTTGAGTTAGAGGGGCAAAGAGAATCCACGTTTCTACATTTATGTTTGTGTAAAGAAATTCTAGATACCCATCTAGATACACTAAATACACTAATAAATAGGAAACTAATAAACAAGTTTATTTGTTATGGATGGGGAAACTAGGAAGTTGAAGTAGGATTGTTTATTGTATTTATATATGAAATTATTAAACCCTAGCAATAAGCTTCCTAATAGAAATCACAAAAGTTTTAGCTGCATTATCTTAAAGGGCCACAAGATGGCAATAGCGTTTCTTGATTGACCAGCCTGTGAGCTGGAAGGAGGGGACTGCAGCTGCTGTGAGCTCCTCCCTTGTGCAAATTCCTTCTCTTCTTGCTCCCTTAGTTCCAGTCCTGGAATCTCTCTTTGCCAACTCGTGATTCCTCTCGTTGTCACCCTTTGTTGGCCAAAAGAGAATTACGTTAGTTAATTGGGCTGGCTTTTAAAAATCTTTTTGGGGAGCGAGGGGAGCAGAGGAGGGAAGAGAGGCGGGGAAGGGATTATGGACATCTTGAAGGATACAGAAAAGTACACAGAAAGGAATAACGTACCTTCAAGTGACCGTCACGCATGTTCAACAATTACCAACATCTTGCCCGTGTTGTTTCATTATCCACATGTACACTGGGCAGGAGGGTGACAATGTAAGAAAATCATAAACATGTTTTTTCAATCATCAATATTTTCACAAACATCCTAACAGATAGAGTTAAACAAAATTTTCTCACCTAAGAAAAATTTTAGATGATTTGTAACATCACCCAATATCTAGTACTTAAAATCCTCAATGGCCTCAAACATGTATTTACAATGATTTTGTCTGACTGGGATTCTATTAGATTTACAAATGGCAGCTGGTTGCTATTCTCTTAAGTTTATTTTAACTCATAACATTTAACCAAATCTCCAAATAGCTGAGATTGCTCATTGGAAAAGGAAAATTAGGAAACCATAATCTAGGTAATAAGAATTCTCATTGTCCATGGATTGTCATTGCGTGCCTAGACCTCTACTGTGAGAAGCGCTAGTTGAAAAAAAGTGTTTTCTAAAAAGAAAAAAGACCATACTGACATTTTCCTTTCAAATTGAAGTCAAAAGGGTTTTTACTTAACATTTTTAAGTTTATAATTGAAATTCTTTTATTCTTAGTGTTAAATCTTAGTTTCTTATGATAAAAATAACGTGCTTTCTATATCTATAGACAAAATAGGAAAAGACATTTTAATACTTTTATTCTGAGTTAGAAATCAGAAATAAAGAGAAGGTTTGAACCTACTAAAACCTGACCTCAGGTGAGGTCAAGGGCAGATTTTAGTAGAATTAGACTTTTCAACCCCTTCCTCATTTAAAATTGATATTCACTAATATTCTGTTCTTCCCAAATGAAGAAAGAACACAGGCTTGATGCTGTGGAATAGCTTAAAAAGAAAATGCCTCCTCTATGAAGTATAATATAAACACTTTTATCTTCATGGTTAGTATTTTCATGTTTTAAGAAATCCTTTTATACTGTGAGATATTCTCCTATCTTACTTTCTAAGGAGCCTTAATGGTTTTCCTTTTGCTTATTTTAAGGATCTTTTTTCCCCTTGTGGATAACCAATTTCCCTCAAATTTTTGCACAGCTTATCACTACCTCATTTACCTCCTCTCTCCTTTCTAAAGATTCAACAAAAAGTTAGGTGTGACCCTTGGCTTTCTATCTAACTCAGTTGGTAAATGTGTCAATCTCTGTGCAATGCCACCGAGTATTATAGCTGTATGAGTCTTTTTTGTTACTAAATTATGTTTTATCCCATCAGGAGTTCCTTGGATTACTTTTTAACTACTTTGATCCTCAAATAAATGTTAAATTAATCTCCAATTAACATCTAAAACTAGTGTTAGGATTTTGACTAAAATTACTTGATTTTATCAGCTCTTCATTGGATACTAAAACTTTAAAAAAAAATAATAAAAAATCAACATAGCAGAATGAGCCCTGCTTGAAATGAAATTTTTTCAAGTTAGGTTATTAAGTGTGATAGCAGAGGTACTACTCCGTTTCTACCTCCTTTTAGTTCTTTAATCAATGTATTTTGACAGTGGGAGAAATTAGGCCTATTTTTTTGTGACTACTTAGCACATATACAACATCCAGGTGGACAGGACTCCAATAATGTGCCGAACTCCTACATGTTAATAATTGTTAAGGTTGCTTCTTTATCAATGAAGGATGTGGTACACGTTAAGACTAGTCTTATCACCATTTGTGTATTGCCTTACCTTTTCTCTATAATGTATTGAAATGGGTTAAAAAATGAGGTAACAGGTATAAACTATTCAATAAGTCCATAGATTGT